GGGTGGGCGTGGCAGTGGGGGGTGGAGCATAGGGAGGCACAAAACTCCCGGCCATTGAGTCAATTACAATTCAAAGTAACCCTAAAAGACAGCATAGAATTACTCCTGTGGGTTTCCAAGAATAATTTTTTTTTAAATGGGAGTAAAAAGCCTTGTTTTCTCCTTTAGAAAAGCTGGTGGTTCAAACTGCAGCAGCCTAACTTGTAACCACTAGGTTACAGGTGGCCCTGTGAGTAACATGATGGAGATGATTATAAAGTCAGCATGGTGTGTCAGGTTAGCAAAGAGCTGAAAGTAGCTTGTCTCTGAACTCCACCTGCAGAAGTGGTTTTAAGAAGTCTTTTGGACTTCAAGGCTATGCAATTTGGATGTGGTGGCAAATAGGCTTGGGCTGTTCTGTGGAGGGTGGTGACCATAGTGGTTCCCGCTGGCCTTGGTGATGTCAGGGCCAGGCCCTGGACGGCACTCAAGAGTTGGGCCTTGCTAGGGTAGGGGCAAAAGGGGAGCTGGAGGGGCCAGCTATGTCAGAGATGAGCTAGAATCTGCTGCAGTGTTAGGGTGCCAGTTTTATGAGAGGCGTTGACTTCTACTCTTGTGGCCAGCTGGTGAAAGCAATAGACCAATATCGGATACTAGCAAGACACCTACAAAAAAGAGGCCCAAGCTCAACACGATAGTTATAGAAGAACAAAAGAAAACCATAGGTTAAAGTGCAACCTGCTTGGAGTACAAAGTGTAGGCTTACAGTCCACATAGTCCAAATAGGAATTTAAACGGAAAGATCTGAAGCTAGACTCCAAACCTAATGAATATTCTTACATATAATAAAGAATTCTTGTCCCATCAGGAAGAATTTTAGCACGTGGTGAAGAAAGATAATCTGGAATTTGAAGAGGAAGAAGACACTGGTACTGGAGCAGGCTCTCCTGGTTGTTTTCTTGCAAGAGGCCCTGGCACCACAACTGCCATCAGAACCACGAATGATGGTACTGACCATCTGAATTGAGCAACTTTTCTGCAAGCGGCTGGGCAGTGCATTCACCCCTATGTCACAATTAGTGCAAAGAATCTGAATGACATAGATTTGATTCCTATGCAAGATATTCCTCTGGCTTCAAGAAGATACATGTGGACACTGAGCTGCAGGTGTATACTGAAAAATTAACCACAGGTGCAGCTATCTTCTTTAAACACAAGCCTAAAAAGAGGTTTACCAGCACAAATGCTTTGCTTTCATGGAGGTGGATAAAATTAAACTTGGGCAATTTATAATACAACTATACAAGAAGCCCACTGATTTTAGAAGGAAGAAATTATAGTTTTTGACCATGAAACTGTTTTATTTCCAGCTACATAAAACTTAGAGCAAGGAATGATCCTGACACAAATACCCATTACTTCTGTGAATTTTACCACTCAGTAGAAATCACTGTAGCTCTGTGTAGTATATGCTCCTTTCAACAGGCTGGAAGTGAGCCACTCCCCTTCCAGGCCAGAGCGAGCACATTAGATTGCACGGCTGTACCACAGACTTTAAAGTCCAGCACATTACTGATGCGCAAGCCTCCTTTGGATATAGGTTTATTGCAAGTTTTGAAATATATATGTACTTTCCTCTTATTTGTACAATTAAGAGTCTATTTCCTAATTTACCC